TATTAAGAATTAAGTGTTTAGTGTACTAGAAGTGTGCTTCTGATGTGATACCACTGCAGCTCCGAGTTGGAGGTAGACTGGCAATCAGTTGTATAGTGTGTTTGAGGACCTGGACTGTTTAGTTTAATTTAATAAATTTTGACAAGGCTGGATTGTAATTGAGAAAAAATATGGACTATCTCTCGACTAGTTTCTACTTGAACTGTTGTAAAAGATGCACATGCTCTGATTTGGAATTATGGGAGTGAAATCCAAAGAGCCTGAGGCTGTAAGAATTAGCTGCTAATCTCACATTTCTACAAAAGGACTGAGCAATTCCTATTTTATAGCCCTGAAAACATAATGGAGCTCTTGGGATAACTGACACAACAAGCTTCTGAGAGCCACTAGCACTTAGCAAAATTGACTTCAGTTAATCAAAAAATTCTGTAGGGAGAGGGGAGGAAAAAGGCTGCTGGTTTGGAAAGCTGCAGAACAATTGTGTGTAGACAGTAAAGACATTTCAATTCCTTGCAGTGGGGTTCAGTAATTAGTAATGACAGTATCTAATGGGCAAACTTAAGTAGAAGGAAAAATAATTTAAGTGCTAGACTGGTGGGGAAAAAGGCAAAAGGGAGGCGAGAGAGATAGAGCACAGTGGCACTTTGCTCACACTTTATTAAAATATTTCTCGAGTGAGTTCTATATATGAATCTGCAAGCGCATTAGAGATTACAGAAGTAATGGGTGCAGAAAGAACAGAATTATCCAGTGTGCATGACCTGGAATATTAACATGCCCCATTATGAATCATAGAATCATAAAATTACAGTGGTTTGGGATGGAAAGGACCTTAAGATCATGCAGTTCCAACCCCCTGCCATGGGCAGGGACACCTCATCCTAGACTGTGTCACCCAACCCTCTGTCCAACCTGGCCATAAGCACTGCCAGGGATGGAGCATTTACTACTTCTTTGGGCAACCTCTGTCAGCACCTCACCACCCTCACAGTGAAGAACTTCTTCCTTATATCTAACCTGAACTTCCCCTGTTTTAGTTTGAACCCATCACCTCTTGTCCTATCACTACAGTCCCTGATGAAGAGTCCTTATCCAGCATCCTTGTAGGCCTCCTTCAGACACTGGAAGCTTCTCTGAGGTCTCCATGCAGCTTCTCTTCTCCAGGCTGAACAGCCCCAATTTTCTCAGCACTGTGGGAGGTGCTCCAGGCCCTAATCATCCTCGTGGCCTCCTCTGGACTTGCTTCAACAGCTCCATGTCCTTCTTATGTTGGGGACACCAGAACTGCAGACAGTGCTCCGAGTGGGGTCCCACAAAAGCAGAGTAGAGGGGCAGGATCAGCTCCTTCAACCTGCTGATTATGTTCCTTTTGATGCAGCCCCGCACATGGATGGTTTCTGGGCTGTGAGCACACACTGAAGCTGGCTCATGTTCAGTTTCTCATCTACCAGCACTCCCAAGTCCTTCTCCACAGGGCTGCTCTGAATCTCTTCTCTGCCTAACCTGTAGGTCTGCCTGGGATTGCTCCAACCCAGGTGTAGGACCTTGCACTTCACATTGTTGAGCTTCAAGAAGCTGCCATTGGCCACCTCTCCAGCGTGTCCAGATCCCTCTGGATCCCATCCCTTCCCTCCAGCATATCAACAGAACCACGCAGCTTGGTGTCATCAGCAAACTTGATGAGGGTGCATCGATCCCACTGTCCATGTCACCAACAAAGATGTTGAACAAGACCGGTCCCAACACCAATCCCTGAGGGACACCACTCGTCTCCAGCTGGACACTGAGCCATTGACCGCAGCTCTTTGCATGTGGCCATCCAGCCAATTCTTTATCCACCAAGTGGTCCATTCATCAAACTCATGCCCATCCAATTTAGAGACAAAGATGTCATGTGGGAAACATTTGAAGAATGAAGAATATGTTTGACATTATTCTGACTTATGTGCCATTTTCCTGCAGTCCTAGGTAAAAGGAGGCACCAAATTATAACCAATACCTCACAGTTCTTCCTAGGCATTTTTTTTCAAGAGTCCATGGTGAAATCTCTCATGCAGTATTTTAAATTGGCATGGCTGGTTTTAATAGTGTCCTTTTCTTGCACATTTTATTATGTTCTGCTTATAACTGTTGAATGCTAGATGTTAAAAGAAACCCAGAGGGAATCACCTTTTCTGGAGTCCATTGGAATGCTTGATAATAGAAGAGCAAAGCTGTGAGGGTGGTGAGGTACTGAAACAGGTTGCCCAAAGAAGTAGTAAATGTGTTATCCTTGGCAGGGTTCAAGGCCAGGTTGGACAGGGCCTTGGATGACATGGTTTAGTGTAACGTGTCCCTGCCCATGGCAAGGGGTGTGGAACCAGATGATCTTAAGGTCCTTTTCAAACCAAACCATTCTGTGATTCTATGAAAACACTTTTGAGAAGTTTCCATGTTCTCTGTTTAGGGACTGAAACTGCAGGAAACCTCCTGTGTCACCATGTCCAGTATCCTCTTATTGCAGTCACAAATTCATCCATAAAATCTGTCACATAATACTTGGGTTTTTTCCTGAGAGCAAATGCGTTAAGATTTATGTGTCTCCCAATAATGGAATAAATGGTTTTATTACAGTGGAGTTTAAATGGTCATTTGTGAATGCCAGGGGAATTTATCTGCAGCAGCAGTTCCAGCATTATAAATCCGCTTGCATCTTTTTTCTGCTGGATATGTCACTGTAAACCAACATTTTAATTTTGCTTCTCTGTATGTGTTGCAATGCAGATGCTTCCATGTAATATTCCTCCCTGACCAAACAACAAAAAGTTTGAAATAGGGATGGCCACAGTTTAGAACATGAAGCATTGTAACAAGAAAACACTTCTGTTTTCCTTACTTGAAGAGTATACTGGAAGGAGAAAAACAGGAATACAAAGATCAAAATCTTTAATTTAGTTTTGGATGTGAACGTGGAATCCTGGGTGGTTGTGACAGGAGAAGGAAAACTGAAGTCTCATGCAACTGTTTTATTCTTGTGCTGTCTTCAAAGGGGTGATATATGCAACAAAGTGTATATATGCATGTTGTAATGAAAGGGGAATAACATTGTTAGATGCAGAGATTTCCAGTTGCTCTATTTCTGTATAGTGCTTTTCTAAATGTTGCTCTCTATTTTGATCAGAGGTTGCTGAAATACAATTCAGTGAAAGACTAATTTATTAATTTCATTTCAGTCAGATGATCAATAAAACATTTCTCAGTCTTTTTCTCTATGCACACAGGTAGCTGTAGCTCTCCTGTGTTCTTGAGCTTACCAGCAGTTCTTCTTGCAAAGTGCTTCTAGAGGCTCCAGTCTACATTTCCTAGCTCTTCAAGCATCTAGTGGTGTGAACTCTGTGATTCTGGACGTGCAATAATACAGAGGCAAAGATGATTTTCTCTGCATCAGGATAAACTATTCAAATGTTGCCTAATCAGTTTTGTCGTCTGATGGGTAGAGGGGAGGAAGAGCTGGACCTCATGCCTTACAGGAAAACAGGTAGGACCAATAAGAGGAAAGATGAGCAAAAAATCACACAATTATTTTTTGCTAGCTTAATGGCTGCCTTGTTCTGCACAAAGATAAAGACACAGTTATCAGTGCCATTTATCAGTTACACCGTTTTAGTATAAACTTGTTTAAAACAGTGTAGAGCCCCTTTTTCATCTTAATTAGACAGTCACCCATTGATTCCAAGTGGGCCTTCATTTTCTAATTATTTAGTACATAATATAATGTCATTAAACATCTTTGAGTGGACAGGATTGCTCTAAAAGCTTTAGCTCCAGAGGTCTAATATTAGGCTTTTGGCATTCATCCCTGTGTGTGAAAAGCAGTCAGTTTGTTTACCAGGAATTTAGATTCCCATTACTGGGGGAATTAGCAATGAGCTATTAGTCTGATTCAAGCACTTAACAATTGCTGATCATCTCCTCATAGCCTGGGGATAATGGAGCTGATCAGCTGTAAATGGAAAGTTTGTGGGCCTGTTTTCATGAAGGCACTTGAGAAAGTGCTGCCTTCCCTGACCTCTGCTAACCCTAGGGTTTGCAAGAAACCCAGACACCAAGTCACTTCCTGGAGGACAGCTAATCACCTCTAAGAAGAGCTTCCATTAGGGCCTAAACCAAGTCCACCCTCCCTCATCTGAGAAAAGGTTCAGCCACAAAATCCCTGAGGTAGAAGTGATGAGCTTCTGATTGTATTTACCAGTATCTGTTTCGGTGGAGGAAGCAACTGCAGAATAGTGGCTGGTTTTGATTCTGTAGCAGTATTGAATGGTCCTGTTGAGTCCATGGTGCTGGTTGGCTTCCTGCTTCTCTACTGTTGCCCCAAAAGCTTTGTCTGGTTCATGGACACCTCAAGTTACTTTGAAAGTGTTCTTTCTTGTTCTTGTGTAAAATTGCTACCATTTTAGCAAATAGAGTGATTTTTAGGATGTATTGAGAAAGATACTTTTGTTTATAGGTGCTGAACCTGTAGTGTTGTCTTGTCAGCTTGAAGTTACCTTCAGATTTTAAGAGGCACACCAGTGATCTGTAGCCAGGAATTACTGTTTGAAGTAAAGCTTAGCCTTTCCTCATCTGTGGTACATATTGTGCCCCCTTTTAAAAGGAAAACTGCAGTCAGTTGATTCTTACTGACACATATGTATTTGTTGGAGGCAGTGGGAATGTTTTTGATGGGGCAAGGATACAATCATTTTGGACTTCCAAATTCAAGGCTTATCTCTGGCATAACCTTGCTGATGACCTCAGGCAAAAATTATGAATGCTGCATTAGACCACGTTAAGGGATCTAAAGCTATGTCAGTTATAGAAGCCACATCTGAAGTTTGTGACAGTGAGTGATGTCTGTAAAAGTTAAGATTGTTTTGTAAGGGATTCTGTCTAACTCTGTTCTTTAAATTTCTTTCCCATAATGCCTCCAGCGGTGGAGACAAGGAACATAGCTTCTATCAAACGCAAAGGAAGCAGGAGACTTCTAGAGTTGCAGGATAAAATTTATTAGTCAGATTTGGCATTGTTTCACACTTTTAAAAATAATCTACCTTACAACGAGAAGGTTCCCTCCTTTTACGTGCTTGCTGAGAGCTCAAGGTTAAGTCTGTCAGGATAGAGAATTTTTATTAAATTATTTTTTGCGTTTGGAGCAAGGGTACTCACAGGATGTTGTATTTCAGTTTCTGGGGACTAGAAGCTGAGGAGGGTTTGTAAATTCCCCTGGAATATATTTAGTAAGAATTGTTCTGAAAGGATTTAGGTAACTGGCAGTCGTTGGACATCGGCAGTGCTAAGAGAACTGAACTGATACTGGTGGACCTTTCTTGCAGTAGTTATACTTGTGCATGCATGTATGCTGTTGTCCTGGGTTGAATAACTGATATTTGGAGAACAGGTGTTACAAAAGTCTAAGTGAAAATGTGTTTGTACTTATAGCAGTGTGAGTACCTGTGAATATTCAGAGATGAATTTTGTTTGCAGTTACTGATGAACAAGCCTGAGAGGCGGCTGTGTGTATAGAGGTACACATGTACATGCGAAGGGAACATAGGACACCTCAAGAAAACCCCAGATTGACATGTTTTGCTTTCCTTTCAGTCTGTAGTGGGATTTGTCTGAGTGTCAAGCATTTTCCTATGTAATCCAGGACATGACAGGAGGCTGCAACTGCAATCAGTAATTTAGGGGTAAGGGCTTAAAGGTGCATCATGTCCTGAATATGAACAACAAAATGCCGACACCTTTTTCCATATCAGCCTGTCCTAGAACATGGATGTGGGCAAGAGGAAAGATCACAGTGCAGATTAGTGGAAGACGAATGCAATACACTGAGCCCTGATGGCTCAGGGAAGTCTACTCAAGTATTCTAACAAATAACCTCACTGATACGAGTATTGCAAAGAACATTTTTTTCTTCCCTGTAACTCTCCACTGAATTCTGGAGATGACAGACAGCATTACTCTAGTCAACAATTGTGACTTGTTTCTAGCCCAGCCATATGGAGGATGGTCTAACGTAGATACTAGAATATGGTAATGTGGACTCTTCCCATTAAAGACTGTTAGCAAACACATGGACACAGTGCTGTCTCTTGATCCAAACAGCCATACTGCAGTAGACGTGAGACAACATGAGATTCTGTAATAAGAAGGTGTCTGACAGTGACTGGAAGCCACAGCATATTATCTAGCTGATGCTTTCCTGGCAACAGATAAACCACAGGGTAAAAATAAACATGCCCATGTTCTGAATATATTCAAGATTGTAATATTGTCTGGCTGTGGGTAATACTGTTCAGATCTGTTTTGTCTCATAGAACAAGCAAGGGGCACTATTGTGTGCATGGAGGAGCTGCTTTGAGATGAGTTTCTGCTATCCTGAAAGCCTAGGCTGGCTGATGAGGCACCTCTTGAACACAATTGATTGTGGACTATTAACCTATGCTCAAAAATCAATATTCACTTAACACCACATTTTAACAGGCAATTGCAGTACAAAACAGCAGTTACACAGTGCACGCATTTACACTCAGAAAAAAACAGGCCATGAAATAGAGTTTGGCAGAGATTGGGCAGGCAGTGTGGCAGGGGACAGTGATAACTGGAATATGTGGAGACGTACAAGGTAGTTACAGCTCCCAGAGATTTTCGCAGCTTGAATATCCCAGGGATTTTGTGGTCAGTGAGCTATATGCATTCTCTAAGTGTTACTAAGGTTTGTCCTGAGGCCAGGCAAGGTCATCCTTTGCTAGATAAGACTAAATTTACTGGGGTTGAGCATAGAAATCCATTCTAACCCACAAAATCCAAGTCTGTTGCTAGCTGTGATGATTATATATATGTATATATATACATGTTGCAAGGGGCAACCCGCAAAGGAGCAAGAATATAAAAATGTAGTGTCCTTGATCTGGAATGGTATTTTTCGTACTTGAAATGAATCTGAAAAGGGAACTGAACATAATCTAGAACTGGTGTTTACCAGAGACTTTATGTTTATTGAGCTTTACTTGCTGCCCACCCTGGAGCATGGACTTCTTTCTGGCCTTTAGGATGATGTGCTGAACTCCATGCCTTGACAGGCTTGAGGAGTCGGCCCATGTGAACCTCCTGAATTTCAGCAAGGCCAAGTGACAGGACATGGACCTGTTTAAGAAGGTTTAGAGCAGAGCCACAGAAATTATGAGGGCTGGAGCACCTCTCCTGCCAAGAAAGGCTGAGACAGCTGGCATGGTTTGACCTGGAGAGAGAAGGCTCTGGGGAGACCTTACTGGGACCTTTCGATATATATAAAGAAGGATCATAAGAGAGACTATTTAGCAAGGCCTGGAGAAACAGGAACACTGTACTGCACTCTTTTAACCTGAAACAGGGTAGGTTTAGATTAGATATACGGAAAAAAAATTTACTATGAGGGTGCTGAGGCGCTGGCACAGGGTGCCCAGAGAAGCTGTGGCTGCCCCATCCCTGGCAGTGCTCAAGGCCGGGTTGGACACAGGGGCTTGGAGCAAGCTGCTCTAGTGGAAGGTGTCCCTGCCTGTGGCAGGGGGTTGGAACTGGATGAGCTTTAAGGTCCCTTCCCACCCAAACCAGCCTGTGATTGTATGCCTGAGGAAGAGCTCCAGAACATGGAGCAGTAGGGTGCATGGTGTTGGGTCCCTCCCTGCAGTCAGAATCTAGTGCTGCAGAAGTTCTGTCAGAACTCAGACCTTCGTTTTAAAGCATTAGCCTGACTGTTACTCAAAATGCTAACATGGCAGAAGCAATGGTGGGCACCAGATCTGCAGAGTTCAGTACAAACTGGTGGGGGAAAATGGGGTGCGAAGGGGGGGGAAGTTTTCAGTGACTGCCGTTCTGGGTTAAGGCTTTTCCACTCCTCTTTTCTGTAAGCTTTCTGTTTTCCAAGATAAATCCATAGTGGGAGGTGCTGGGATATGAAATAAAATTAGTAATATGGGAAGAAAAGATGCCATTTCTGCCAGGTTAATGTGGGCTCAGCCACAGGGGCAGGAACAGAGCCAGGGATGGCCAAGAAACAGCAGCTCCAGAATATACTGAGGAGGCCATAGGCATACTGCTGTGTTTGGAGATGTCTCGCTGTGTCTTCCCTTCAGCCACCTGGGAAATGAAAAGGAGGAATGAATCCCAGTTAGACACATTTATGCTCAAATGTCTGGCTGCAGAGCTTCCAGTTCTGAGCACTGATGAGAGACCATAGGAAACTCCTGTAGCCAGGCAGCACGGCCTCCTGCTTCTACTAGTCTGTGGGGGAAACAGCCCAGGGTCCAAGGGTTCTGTATACATGTGACATTCCTCACTTTGGTGTCCAAAATCACACCTTTCCAGATCCAAGGCTTCTCAACTACTGTCTCAAGGCTATTTGTCTCGCTGCTTTGTGAGAAGGCAACAAAGCAATGCATACCTGGGACATTTCTGAAGCAAGAGATGTGCTGGCACTGTCTCGTTGGAAGCTTAGGGAAGATGAATAAAAGAAGTCTTCCTGTCTTTCTAGAGCTGTCTGTTTCAGGTGCATTTGAGACCAAATCGCATTTTCTGCAAACAGAAGTAAAGCAAGAGTCTTAATGTGCTTTTCTCTGCACATCTTGGAGTCTAGTGAGCAGAAGTCTAGGGAAGCTGTTAGCTTTCAGACAGGCTCTGTGGCTTCAACTCGCAAAATACGTATTCTCTGTTTAGTGAAGGGCCTGTTAGTTTGTGGGCTTACTTGTGAGGCTGAGCCAACTGCCAAGCCAATTTGCACTGTACTTAAGGACCTTTGGGTCCATCTGGGACTTTCCTGAGTGTCTGGTAAGGCACATGCATGTAGTAACTGAGATGGGATGTTTAGGTTGTAGGTGTATCTATAGTGCTGGGTGTAAGGCTTTTCTATAAAACGGAGGTAGATTTAAATATTAATCATTTATGTAATGATGCTGGTTTCTCTGATATCCTTTGGGAGCTTTTACAAACATAAAATATTTAACTTTTATTACAGTCTGTTGCTAAAATGCTAGGGAGAGAACAGACTTAGGAGTACATAGTTGAATGTAACAGGATTTTTGTAACTGTTGTGCTGCTGAATCTAGTAACAGGGGCTGTGTTAAGAGCAACTTATCCTGACCAAGTGAGGGCCAAGGAAGGGGGACAAAACAAAAGGAAGCCAAACTGCAGAATCCTGGTGCACTCATGTGGTTACTCAGCAACCTATGGATACAGCATGTCTGACCTCCCCTTGTGATTTTCTTTTTTTTGCAACCCTATCATTTGAATGCTGCTTGGAAATACCCTCATGGTGTTTGAGACAAACAGAAGGGTCGCCAAAAGATACAGAAGCACTTCTGAGAGGAGATCCAGGCTGGTCCCATAGGTTGGGTAAGGGATCATGGAGACGCTGCAGAAGAAGACAGAACTATACCCAAGAACAGTGCAACATAGGATCTTGAAATCAACAGGATTTGAATTTCCCTGTGCTGAGCAGTCTCTCTCATTCTGGGATATGATTGATGCTTACCAAGGCATTTGTTGTTCTCAAACATGCCAAGTATCTGGTCACACTTCTCCTTCTTGTTGCCGCTGCTCTCACATGTGCACCACAGGGATACCTCCGCACTGGAGTTGCTGACATAGTTGGGTGTCATGGGTGTGCCTGTCCCAGAGTGCCAGAAACCAGAATGAGGATTTACTTACCAGATGAAAGAAGAATCATGAGTCCCACTGTAATAAAGGGAATGCTGCCCTGAAGGCAGAAGCCTTCCACTGCGATACACACTACTCAGGAGATGCCAGGGTGCCCCGCGAGGTGACCCAGGCCCGGTCAATCTACATGAAGTCTGCTGGGCTGTGATAAAGTGTGGAGATTGCTACCCCTGGCTCAGGCAATCTGATGGTGAGGTGTGCTGATAGCTGAAGCTGGTGCAAGCATCAGGTAGGATGCAAAGCTGCAGGGTCTCGGCTGCAGAACTGGCATATGGCAGCAAAAGGTGCTCTTGTTTCTTGTGTAGCTGGTAACACTGTGAGGCCAAATGCCTTTTGCCACAGAAATGCTGCATGCTTGTGGGGTGCCATTCAGCCAGAGTTCATTTGGCACAAAACCAGCAAAGACCAGAAGGTATAGTTTAAAGCTCCTGAGATACTGTTGCTCTTTACAGTTCCTCTTTTGAGACAATGAAAAAGTATTAGCAGGTTGGCAGTGAATGCCTAAAAGCAAAGATGACCTTCCTCCTAACAGCTGGTAGTGCCATGTTCTGTCTGGCTCTGAGAAGAGAGCTCTTTTTGGGCTGCATTTACCTCAGAAGCAAGAGGGAGCACCAGCATCAATTATTCACTGGTATACTGAGCAGCATCAGTGTGCCTGCAAGTTTGTGTCCTACAGGCACCCACCCTGTGTGCTCCTGTGGCTGTCACTTACCAATCATCCCCATGTAAGCCTGCAGGCATGCAGCATGGCTGTGCTGAGAGCAACCATCTGGAGATGTGTCTGCAGGTTGACAATTTTGTTGGAAGTCAGCCAGTCGGGATCTGTAGGAAGGAAAATGAGACTGTCAGTGTCTATGCTGTTCTATTCTCTTGGCTAATGTCCGCTGCTGCTGGACCTACTTGCAGATATGGTCTTCTAAGCAGGAGTCCAGAAGCCAGAGGCAATTGGGTTTGGTGCTATACTGGAAGGAACAATTTGGAACAATAGTTTTCCGGCGTCGTTCTCCACAAAGCTCATCTTGACATGGACAGAATAGGATCCTTTTGGTGAAATCCTCAGGGACTTTCTCAAAGAAATTCCTCAGCCCTCTGTGGCATTTTCGACGGTCACACACGTCCTCATTTCCTGCTCCTTTAGTGCAGATAGAAGCATATTCTGTGCGCAGACGAACACACTTCTTGCTCAGATTACAGACATGAGTTGCTTTTACGCATGGATTTGTTGCATCTCTTGCTAACTGTGAGCCTAGAAAACCAAAAGAAATCCAGAAACAATGAAGGAAGTCTCCAGAAGAGATTCTGTCTGGAAATAGGAGTAGCCCTTACTTGATGGTCAGATTGGGAATATCAAAAAGAACAAAGCACATTAGTCCTGCTGTGTGCCTGCAGTGTGATGTTGCAGTTGTACTAGTTACAAAATCATATTTTTTGTTGGTTCATGTTAGGGTGTTTGTTTCAGTGAGTGCATCATTGTGAGTTATTCCCTGTTTCATGGACCTTGATCTGTGGCTATATTTATACTTGTTAGGGGGGATGAATTTAGGCAAGTATCCAGAGCAGGCATTCATCTGATTAAAGAGGCCATTACCCCAAATTGTTCTTAATAATTTTCAGCCCCTGAAAAGATAGGAAATGACAGCATTATATCACGTAACCATTACAATCCTTACCTGATAACAGAGCTGCCAGTTTATTATAGTCTGTCTTCCAGTGTTCTTCATTTGCTGGATTCTCATAGGGAGAGGTCTCCAAATTGAAATAACCTGGGCAAGATACAAGATATTTTATGCAGTGGAAACATGGTTTGGTTTTTTTTCTTTCTTTTTTTTCCCTCCTTAATTTTTTTCTTATTTGTGCCTGGCTGTTTTCTCAGGCTGGAGTTCAGAGATGCTCTGTTTTGCTCAAAGCCAAATGCCAAAAATGGTTCTGCTGGAGAAGCCATGTAAAAACAGTGTTACATTTTGTCATCATTATTTCCTCTGGCTGGAATTTGGTCTGTGTTGTCATTTGGGCCTTTTCAGCCTCAGTCGTAGTGAGAGGCCAAGTAGAAGCATCCCACTGAAGCTGGAGAGAAGCAGCATGCTCATGGATGCTGTTAGTGTGTGTAATAACAACGTGTTGTTTTAAGCTATGACAGACTCACACTTTGAGGTGATTTTCATCGCACTCTCCCCTCACAGCACCAAATCTAACTGCCTCAGAGTAGCTATCTTTGTCTCTTGGGGTCTCTGTTGTATTTGAAGGCCCAGCCCAGATCAGTTTTCTCTGCTTATCAAACAGAGCAGTAGTGAATTCTCTTCACTGGGAGGTGACTCCAAAATGAGCTTCACTGTTGGGAAGTCACCTTTTGCAGTTGTTTCCAGATGGGGGGCAGGGACGAGCCTCACTAGTACCTTATAAATTTCTATTATTTCATCTCACCATCTGTCATGCTGGAATGAATGGTCCAGAAAACACGCAAGCAGTGCTCCTCTCTCTTCATGCGCCGGTGACACTTGCAGTGCAGCAAAGAGCTATTCCCGAGGTCTAGCTCTGCATTCAGACATTGGACCCTGCTATCATGATCCAGTGGAAGGAAGCGAGTCTTAGCCAGGGCACAGTTTTCCAGGATCCTGTAGGTGCCATTGCAGGTAGAATCCAAGAGGCACAGTTGTTCTGCTGCTATGCAGTCACTCCTTGGCAGAGCCAGGAGGTCTCCTGGTCAAGTAGGGAAAAGATTATTAGGATCACAATCATCATGGATGCCACACAAGCACCTTGTCACTGTTCTGTAGGCATCCTTTATTCAATGAGGACTCCTCTCAAGAGGCAGAACTGGTTGGGGTCTCTCATATGGAGTAGTAGGAAACAAAAGCTGTATCAATTTAGAAACAGAAGGATGAATATTAATGTATGAAAGAGGGAACAAAAGGTTAAAGAAAAGTTGCAGAAATAATTTTGTTTAATAAAATGTTTTTTTATCACCCTTAACTCTTTCAACTTGGCCATGATCAGGGATGGCTCTGTTTTTTATGGAGTAGTAAATCCCCATGGAAACCTTGGGGTTGATGAGGCCTGCTCTGAAGAAGCTCTTCTATCTATGGGTAATGAAAACCGCAGTGCAATAAACACATAGTAACACCATGCTGTGTGCTGTGAGTCAGTGCTGCTGCACTTGCTGAAGTATATACTGGTCATTAAGAGATGCACTGAGAAAGCCATTTGTAGGGTGTAGAAACAACTGCTTTACTGAACTTGGAAACTTAGGAATAAGAATGTGTATTTTTTGCATACTAGAATAACTCCTTGACATAAGATGCAAGTAGCTTCATATAGCAGTGCTGATGTGCAATCAATTCAAGTACACAGGACCCAGTCCCTGAAATCCCTGAAAAAAATGCTGGGATGCAGGCTTGGTCTGCTGTCTTTCATCTCTTGGTTGACTGTGAACTCTATCTATCTGTGTGTATGTACATTTGCATAGCACAGGCATTGATTATATATAGACACACACATACGCATGCCTCCTTTCCCTGCATGACAATATTGCTTGGCTCTTTTAAAGAAAGGACTGTGCTGAGCCTTACATCTACCTTTAATGTTCTTTGGGTACACAATATTACCTGTCACTATCTTGGTCAGTAGTGCTACTTCAGTCTGCCTTCACTACAGATTAGAACAAAATCTTAGTGTGCCTCTGTACCTGGTATACCACCTTCACCATCTAACTTGTTCTCTCACTTCCTTTACTTTTGCTGGCTTCATCAGTTCATTTGCTCTAAGCCATAAATGGCACAACTGTGTGCTAGTCTGCTTCTCAAACCTACTCCTGCAGCCCTGTAATACTCTCTAGGTGTACAAATTTCTTTCTTTGCTTTTCTAGCAACTTTTACTGTATGTTGTTTTTCATCTGGCTGTTACATAGAGACTGTGACTTTGTAAGCTCCCTGACAAGCAAATCTCTCATCAGAGAGAAATTCAAAACTCTTCTACAGACATCATCTAATAGCTATGCATTGTTTTAAGCCCTAACACAACTTAAAGGTAATAATAACTTCACAGATTATGATTACTTATACTGTAGAAAAAATGGGTAGATAATACTATCCCTTTATTCTTCCTTTTCACTCCATGTCCTGCCATATATATATATATGTGTGTATTAATTTCATGCCCCTGGTGCACCACGCTATTGGAAAAGGATGATTACAGAAGGGAAACCTATCAAGGAAGCATTAGGACTGAGACATGGAAAACTGAGGGACATCTGTTGTGCTCATGTGGCTGCAGGTGTTGCTGAGGTCTCAGTGCCATGGCCCATTTTTAGAGCAGTCACTGTGATACTCAGCAGCTGCAGCTTTTTTTGAGTAAAGCACTGACATCTCATAGCCAGAGTCTAGGAATGGTTCAGAGCAGTTCTGTAATTTCTGCATTTCTAGTCACATCAGCCATGGAGACTGCACAGGAGATGAACTGGAGAGGAACCGTTTCTATCCTTGGCTCTTGTGACTTGGCAGTAATAAACGGCAGAGTAGAGCGAGCTGCTGCGTCTCTGCAGGAGTTCCTCGCTCTGGTCTTTGCAGACTGAGCCTCACCTCAGAATACTACCGGCCTGCAGCACTCGGGAGGGGATCAGGAGGGTGGGTGGTCAAAAAAGGCCCTCGACGGAGCCCGTGTGAGGGGTGCAGCCAGAGCCGGCGCTCGCCGAGTGCGTCTCCTGCCCCCAGGGGGTCAATTCCCGCTGCCCCGCTCGGCAGCACGGAGCCGAGCCCGTCTCCGACGCCAGCCACAAAGACGAGCCCCCCCTCCCCGGCACGTCCCTGCGCTCCGCTCGCCGCCGCATACGGCACTCGGCGTTCTGGGTCACAAGTAGCGGCGCGCCTTTCTCGGCTGGAAGGCGATTCTGCCCCCGGGGCAGCAGGGCGGCCGCCCTCCGTCGCAGCCGGTGGCCAGGAAGCAAGGCTGGGGCAGCGGCCGAGAGCTGCGACCGCGGGACGCGCTGTGGGTCCGCCCAGCACCGGAGGACACCGACCCGGGACCCCTCTGCCGCTTTCCCGGAGGGCAGGGGATGCGGATGGTCCCTCGGGGCGGCGGCGCGGGTCCCACTCTCCCCCCGGCGGGAGCGGGACGAGGGACATGCCGCCCTGCCCCGCCGCCCTCCCAAGCCCGCCCCGTCCGCCGCCCCACGCTCCGGGCGCTGTTACCTGCTCGGGAGAGGAGCAGCCCCAGGAGCAGGGCGAACCCCATGCTGGAGCCCGCGTCGGCGGTCGGTCCCTCAGAGCGCTGGGGCCGCAGCTCACATGCTGCGTGCAGCCCCGTCTCAGGTCTCCGCCGTCTGCCCCGCGCGGCTAGGCTCGGCACGGCACGGCACGGCACCCACCGGCCCGCCCCGTCGAGGAGCGGGCGGCGAGCGCCGCCCCGCAGCCCGGCCCGCCCCGGGACCTTACGGGGGGGTCCGGCCCCAGCAGGGGTGGCGGCTGCTGTCGGAGCCGCGGCGGGGGATCGCGGGGTGCTGCGCTGCAGAGCGCGGGAGGCGCCTCCGGGGAGGCAGCTGCGAGCGCGCTCCAAAGGGGAGCTGCTGGAAGGGGCTGCTCGGCTCGTGTGCGGACTCACGGCCCGTCTCGCGCTGGGGTCAAGGCTGGGCCTGCGCAGGGCAAGCACCCGCCGGGGTGCACTGGGTAAAATAAAGTCTCCAGCGGAGTGCTGCTTTGGTCCGCAGGAGGGATGAGCGAGCTTTGTTCGGCTTCTTCCTCCGAGCTTTGTTGTGGAGGGTCTTATTTCGGCACCTTACCTGTGCTGGCTCTGTCTTGGCTGAGGATGGCATTTCTAAGAGCCTGCCCGGCATTCAGGCAACCGTGCTTTTTGAACAGATCCTTCTCTTTAGTTTATATCCTACAGTCAAATTGGCCAGCACAAGAATTAAGTAGAAGTCCAACATGCGCACATCAAACATTAGTATATGAAAACGAGAGAAACCTTTTGTAGGTCGACTGTTTGCACACATAGAGAGACCTACCCCATCTGCTTGAAAAGCCCAAGAGAAAGGGTAATAACTGTGCAAACACAGTAAGCATTCACAGTCCAGTTCAGGGATGCCCTCCTCATCTTGGGGTTTGAACAAGATTAGTCCTGCTTCCTTCAGGGAGCTGCTGAGAGAATTCTTCTGAAAGTGGTCAAGTTGTCCCCAAACAGTGGGAGCTCTTACTTCATGCTTGAGGAGTGAAAAAGTGTTCTCACCATACCTTGAAGTTTAACCAAAGTCTGGTATTTGGAGGAGCTTAAAGAAAATGGTGGATGGGATGGAGCGTTTTTGACTTTGTAGTTATCTGCTTGCAGTTATCATTTAGGAGGAGGAAACAGGGTAGTTAGGCTGAAGAAAGAGTAGAGGTTTTCTTGTAATGCCCACATGTAAAAACAAGAAGTGGCTTGTTCCTGTGAACTTCTCTATGTTTTTATCAGAAATTACAAGATTAAATGAGTAGATCAGAAAAGTTTTTAATCCTGATCCAAGTTATAAATGTGGTACAGTCAAGATCTGTTTGGATTATTACTATGGCTAGAGTGTTAATTACAGTAGTGTGCAAGTTGTGAGGAATAAGAGGCAGAAGAAGAGATGCTGCCTCCAGTGTCATGGATTTGTAGACTTGCTTTGAGACTGTAGGAGGATCTTCTCTATGCAGTTTGAGTGACTGTTAGAAGGGAAGGAGACTGGCCACTGCCATTTATACTCCAGGCTGCCCGGCAGTAAACCCAAGCAGAATGATCCAGTGCACAGCAGTGGGAGATGAGAGCTGCCCAGGCATGCCGATGACACCAAGATGTGTGGTTCGGTTGATAGCCTGGAGGGAAGGAATGCCATCCAGAGGGACCTCGACCTCGACACGCTTGTGAGGTGGGCTGATGCCAACCTCATGAAGTTTAACCATGCCAAGTGCAAGGTCCTACAGCTGGGTCGGAGCAATCCCAGGCACAGCTACACGTTGGGCAGAGAAGAGATTCAGAGCAGCCCTGCGGAGAAGGACTTGGGGGTGTTGTCTGATGAGAAAATGAACATGAGCTGGCAGTGTGCGCTCGCAGCCCAGAAAGCAACCGTATCCTGGGCTGAATCAAAAGGAGCGTGACCAGCAGGGCGAAGGAGGTGATCCTGCCCCTCTACTCTGCTCTTGTGAGACCTCACCTGGAGCATTGTGTGCAGTTCTGGTGTCCTCAACATAAAAAGGACATGGAACTGTTGGAACAAGTCCAGAGGAGGCCACGAGGATGATCAGGGGACTGGAGCACCTCCTGTATGAAGACAGGCTGAGGAAGTTGGGGCTGTTCAGCCTGGAGAAGAGAAGGCTGCGTGGAGACCTCATGGCAGCCTTCCAGTATCTGAAGGGGGCCTATAGGGATGCTGGGGAGGGACTCTTCATTAGGGACTGTAGTGATAGGACAAGGGGTAACGGGTTAAAACTGAAACAGGGGAAGTTTAGGTTGGATATAAGGAGGAAATTCTTTCCTGTTAGGGTGGTGAGGCATTGGAATAGGTTGCCCAGGGAGGTTGTGAATGCTCCATCCCTGGCAGTGTTCGAGACCAGGTTGGACGAGGCCTTGGGTGATATGATTTAGAGTAAGGTGTCCCTACCCATGGCAGGGGGGTTGGAACTAGATGATCTTAAGGTCCTTTCCAACCCTAACTATTCTATGATTCTATGATTACCACATTACTGGTAGTACACAAAGCTTATGGGATGTGGTACTGACTTTCTTGGTACAGGAGATGATAGCCAGAGAAGGGGAAGCTCTGCTAGAGCTGACTGTAGCTGACATGTGTAGCTTCTTGAGAATGTTAACATAAAGGGCTGTCTGTCAGGTCATGACTGTCAGCCTGTAATCTTTCAGTCCCTTCTATTTTGCTGGTTTTATACTTCTAAGCAAAGGCAAATTTCAGTAAACTCAGTGAACTTACAGCCAACATCTCACAGGAGAAGAGCTTGAAGAAGGGAAGGTGGTGTGTTTGCCTTGAGAAAGAGAAGAATATAAACAACTGATTTAAACATCAAGCTCTAGGAAAATTCTGGGATGCATAACCAATCTGTTAGCATGTGGAAAATAATAGGCTTGCTGTTTGTCTCCCAGGTGGATTTGTCAAGGACCAATACAATTTCTTCTACAATAGGGTAACAACTTTTGTGGGGGAGGAAAGAAAAAGAAGAGATCGTGTGTACTGGGGATCTTTAAGAACAGCTTTAGACAAGTTGGTCCAGCTTGGTACAAGAGAATAGTTTGAGGGATCTTTCAAATTCATTTCCAGATTCGTTTTCTGATTCTGTGATTATAAATCTTCACCCAAAGCCCACTGAAATGGTTCATTAGCTCAGCTTTGGATTATGCTCTGCAGCAAACATAAAAGGAAAGGGAAGATTCTTCCTTCCATGTTAAAGCTGAATGCTGTAGCAGTGCTTTCAGGGTGCCTTGCCAAGTGGCCAAGTAGTGGAACCCTGATGTAGTGTCTGGTGAAGGGTTGGCCAGGTCCCTACTCTTTACTAGTCAGCAGAGCCTGTGAGGGCAGTGCAATGGTTCCTTTTTTGATTTTTGCATGCTTATATATGTGTCTTTCCTGGGACCCATGACATACAAGGTTATTTGGTTGTTTCTCCCTCCCCACACACATGCAGAGCAGCACTGTAACCTCATTATAGGTCTCAGAGAATTGGGTAATTACCAGTCTCTCACGACCAGAGCTTTCATCACTCTATTTGAAATTGTATAGGCCAGCTCTGACCTATGGGGGTCATCTACCAGTGTAATGTGTAATATCTCAGGAATCAGTTTCTCTAATTCTGTGCAAGGTCCAGGCCTTTGACCTTCTTAAACAGCTGCAGAAACAGTGATCAACTCTGATCTGATTTCCTCAGCTTTTAGCACCCGTTCCATGGTTTATGTTATCTTTGCTGCTCTTTGCTGGTTCATGTAGGTCCTGGTTGATTTGGGGTTAGTGATGTCAGCAGGTTCTGTGATGACAGACAACACCAAGTAGGGCAGGAGTGCTGATCTGCTGGGGGGTAGGAAGCTCTGCAGAGGGATCTGGCCAGGTTGGATCCATGGGCCAAGGCAAATTTTCTAAGGTTCAACCAGGCTCAGTGCCGGGTCCTGCACTTGGGCCCAACAACCCCCTGCAATGCTCCAGCCCTGGGGAAAGGCAACTGGAAAGCTGCTCATGGAAAAGGAGCTGGGGGTGCTGATTGATGGAGCTGAACATGAGCAGTTTGTGCCCAGGCAGCCAGGAAGGCCACCAGCATCCTGGCCTGGATCAGCACCAGTGTGACAGCAGGGACACGTCAGTGAATGTCCCACTGTACTGAGCACTGCTGAGGCCGCACCTTGAATCCTGTGTTCTGGGTCCCTCACTACAAGAGAGACATTGAGGTGCTGGAGCAGGGCCAGAGAAGGGCAGCAGAGCTGGTGCAGGGCCTGGAGCACAAGTGTGATGGGGAATGGCTGAGGGACCTGGGGGGTTCAAGTCTGGAGAAGAGAAGGCTCAGGGGACCTTATCATTCTCTACAACTTAGATCAGCCAAAGACAGCAACTGCTTTTGCAGCAGTCATGGGAACTCTTCCTACCAGTATGTTACAGACAATATGACCACTGTGGTTTCCTCACCACGCCACCTCCTCCCCTGGAATACTGCTGTACTTTACTTTCCATTTTTGTTTTACCATCTATGAGTCTGGTTTCTCTGGTCCTTGCAGTGCAGACTACAATCCCATCTGCCTCTACTGGGAAATACTAGCACCAAACCTCATGTTCTTGAAATTCATTGGAGCCATTACAGTTCATCTTCATATTGCTGTCAGGCTATAAAGGACTTAATTCAGTGCTTGAAAGTTTTTCCTCTAACATTAAGAACTCATTCAGCAGGCTTGGACACACGGCAGGCCATGTCTGTGTTATATCTTATCATAGGCTCTGTGTGAGGTGCACAGTCCAAACAAGAAATCTAGCCTGGAGAAGAGAAGGCTGCATGGAGACCTCATAGCAGCCTTCCAGTATCTGAAGGGGGGCTATAGGGATGCTGGGGAGGGACTCTTCATTAGGGACTGTAGTGATAGGACAAGGGGTAACGGGTTAAAACTTAAACAGGGGAAGTTTAGGTTGGATATAAGGAAGAAATTCTTTACTGTGAGGGTGGTGAGGCACTGGAATGGGTTGCCCAGGGAGGTTGTGAATGCTCCATCCCTGGCGGTGTTCAAGGCCAGGTTGGACAGAGCCTTGGGTGAGATGGTTTAGTGTGAGGTGTCCCTGCCCATTGCAGGGGGGTTGGAACTGGATGATCTTAAGGTCCTTTCCAACCCTAACTATTCTATGATTCTATGATTCAGTTACGCTGGTGCTGTTTCTTTATTAGTTGTTCCTCTCTTTGGTGGCAGGAAAATCCTT